GATAAGGTAAAGATAACCTATCTAATCAATCTAAGTTACACACTAGTTCTTAGCAAAGAGAAATGATTTGTTGTTTAAGACTAGAAGAAAGTAAGTTCTGTTAGGTTCAAGTATGTGCGTTAAAGATTGTATTCAAGTTCTCCATTTTAATATGCTTTGTAATAGTTAGATTTAATGTTTTCCTTAGTAAATAGTCATTAGCCTTGTAATTGTCATTAATTTTCTGTAATCAATCTGATTAATGCTGTAATTCTCTCTCTCAAGAAATCAAAAGAAAGATTGGTGAAAATTTTCTCTATTCATCTTCTTAATCTTCATCTTCAAGATTAATTCTGATTTTGTATGATTTTGGGCTTTTCAAGTTCTTTTTTGGGTAAGAACTATTTAAAACACTAAAAAGAGATTCTAACTTGCTTTTGAAGAAAAACGTTTGTGTTCTTAGATGTGTGTTCTTTTACTTATGAACATAAGTTAGGGTTCAAGAGTAAGTATCGGTATCTCTGCATGGAGATATAACACATCTATTTTTATCCATTGCATTAAATGCACATTTAATGCAATGCATTAGGGTTTGAACACGTGTGAAGCCTTTAGAGAAAGACTTTGTCATTTGCTATAGTGAATACTACAAAAGCCTATTCATGAGAAGACATCATTTCATGGAGTTGGTGGGTAGTAGAGTCAACTAATCGGTTTCGTACCTTACTATGCTCTAGAAAAGATATGAGTTTGTTCTTTGTGTGTATAAGGATAAGACAATAACAATCGTGTTCAACAAGTTTCTTTTGATTGATGCATGCTGGAAGAACCTGAAGGTCTTTTCAGCATTCGCTGAGGCTTGGGCAGTCTTCACATATGTGTAGACCAGGTTGTAATAACTGAATACCGCTTCAGATCACGAACTCGCCAGTCTCTAATCTTCAGTTTCAGTCTTTGACTTTCTCTGAAGGTTCTTTGGTGTGAGTTTTATCTTCTTGAAGTATAGCTGTCGCTGATGGATTTACATTACATGTTCTCAGCGATCACTGAATAAACTCAGTGATGATCGCTGGAACTGAACGACATAAACATAAATATTTTGTATAAGATAAAAGGGATTATCATCAAATCACTGAGAGAGCGGATCAACAATCTCCCCCTATTTGCTGATAACAAGTCAACATAAAGAAAGTTGTCTTATCAAATAACAGTAAGAAAAAGTTACATATAAAATACATGTCCCTTTTAACTAATTTGAGATCTTTTTCAGTGAGTCAGTCTTTACTTAGAAAATTTTCTTAAGTTTAAGTCTAAGAAAATTTTTAAAGAAGGGAAACTGAAACTAAAACCATATTCACTAACTTATAGATTGTTAGTGAATGTAGAGTAACACTGGAACTCATAGACTTGTATAACTATTACTCTTTTCAAGGATCTTTTTCAGTAATGCACAAAAATACTTATATTAATTTCAAAGAAAATATTACAAGTCTTCAGTACATGTCTAATACTTACAAGATATAAGAATAATCACTGAAAGTAGACGTAGAATATAGTTTATACAGTGAAAGAACGAAGTACAAAATAAATAACTAATTTAAGTTGTTCAGATTAATGTAACCAGGTACATTTTCTCCGAGCTTCTTTCGACGTCGAAATTCCTTTCTGATCCTGATGTCCATCGCTTCACCATATATGTCATCGTTCAGCCAAGTACAGATGTATGCAAGATGTTCCATTGGGCAGAGATGCAACTCATATATTCTTTGAAAGATGACTTCGCCATCATAGTCAATGAAAATAAATCCTATCTCAAGCTTCATATGCACAGTGTTGGGTATATAGGGACCCTTCGCCGGCAATGAGAGATTCAACATAGAGATGCTTGGCTTCTTCGAAGCCTTCATGACTTCATTTAAGGAGAACTTTGTTTCATTTCATTCCTCAGGGATGGTCCATTATTAGGGCTTGAAGGTCTTTTTCTTCTTTCTTCTTTCTTCTTTCTTCAGCGTAGGCACTTTAGGGACTGCGACATGTCTGGATACCTTCTTGATCAACTCGTTGATAAGGTCTTCGATAATCGTCTTATGTCTGGACTTTGAGCGCTGAATGTCTTGTAGGATCTCCAGCCATTCGGTATAGCCATATTTGCCAAGATATGAGGGATACTCAGTCACGGCCTCGAGATTGTCCCTGGTGATGAGCATGGAAAACAGCATCCCACCATATTTTGATCATCCGCTGATGCTGATACTCTTGATTGGGTGAGGACTGATCCTCTTATTAATGCTTGCTTCGCTCCAGCACTTGTCCCGCTCAACCACCTTTAGGTTCTTATCGCATTCAGCTTCTGCAAGAGATAGAAGCTTAGCCTAGGCCTGGACATCGGTCACCTTCTTTTTGGACTTTATCTTGGGAAGAACTTTGGCGGCAAGAGACTTGGCCAGCTTTAAGCTGTCTTCAGTCTGCTTCTTTTGAAGATCCAGTTCTTCCTCGGCCTTGAGAGCCTCAATTCTTTCAGCTTCGGTCAGGAAATTGAACTCACCACAACTAGAGGTACGAAGAGATATTGTTACTCTAGTTTGGTCGAGTGACTCCCTGAGCTGAGTCATCTGCTGGTCGGTAGGAGTGCTGGGGGTAGGGTTCTCAGGGACCCATTCCAGCCGACCGCAGGTAGTTGAGGGTATCTTGAGTTGATACAGTGAAGTGATGACTACTTGAGATGAAGAGTCTTCAAATAAGGGTTGAGGAGTTTGGAATAATACCTTTAGATTCCCTTCTTCAGCGACACCTTTGTCCTTAGACTTGGTGCCCTAGTGCTTTTCTTGAGCAGCCTCGTTCACCCCTTACTCCCCCTGGGATATAGAATCCCTGATAGCGACGCCTTTCGTGGCACCGACAGGTTTCTAGTACTGAATCGTGAAGTTGTCATCATCATCATCAGCATCGTCCAGGTCTTTGCCAGTGTCAGGAGGGTCGGGGGACTCATCGTCTTCTTCATCATCACTTTCTTCATCGTCATCCAGATCACCAACATCAGCTGTAGAGGTGACTGGAGGATCATCGTCACGAGCTTCAACTAGGGCGGTATCAACATCCTTAGCTACGGAAGCTTCACAAGAAGTTGGAGAGTTATCAGCAACAACAACAGCTTCAGTTTCAGCTATAGAAGCTTCAGCCTCAGCTTCAGTCAGTGAAATAACAGCAACATCTGAAGAACCAGCATCAGTCGCTGTCTCCCCCTCTTTGACTATTGTTTTAGACCAATAGCTAAAGAAGTGGTTGACTGTGTGAATTTGGAACTTCATCAGCTCCTCGAGCTTGGTCAGAGCACGGGCCATAATAACATTGGCCTCACGTGCCTAATTTAGCTGGTCACGGTCATCAGCAGTGAACGACGGTTCAGCTGCCGGGATTGGTTGTTGCAGAGTAGCTAGTAAACCAAAAATATTAAATAAACAACATGTTTTTTAAAAATTGAACTTATAAGAAACTAAACTTATAATGATCCAAGGAGGAATAAAAATCCTTTGTGGCCACGGAGGTTCAAATGCGGTGACTCCGGGCTATCTGCAACGCAGGTGGTCGCCCTGTGATTAATCGGCTTGCATAGCGGGTTAGATATCCAGGTTAATAAAAAAAACTTATAATGACCAAAAATATTAAAAAAACTAATTGTTTTTAAAATTTATTTTATTTTTATCATAAACAATTACAAAATAATATATATATATATATATATATCTTTTTACCAAATAATATATAAATTTATTATATCAAAAAGGCAAACATTTCAAAAATAAACCAAATAAGTATTTAATAAACCAAAAAAGAAAAAAAAACTAAAATACCCCTAAATTAGGTTTTTAATATATTAGGAACTGTTTAGCAGTTGTTGAATGGTTAAATGCAGAATGATTAAGTGGTCAGAATGATTAAGAGACTCTTATAGTACAATGCAAATGAAATATAATTGTTTGATAATTGTTCAGAATGAAATTAGGGCGCTGAATGATTAAGGGAGACTCATGATACAAAATCTTTCAGAAGGTTTTAGAACCATTAAGATGCAGAGTTTTTTTTTTTGCCAAATAAAAATCACCTTTTAGCAATTCAGATATTACTTATTAATCGAACTATTAAGAGGTAAACAAACAACCTTTTAGTCTCAAAGACGAAAACGGTAACAAATTATGAAGTATAGGAACGAAAATTGGAATTTTAAACCATAGGAACGAAGATACAATCTTTCTCAAACCTCAGGGACTAAAGTCATAGTTACTCTAATTTTTTAAAAAACAACTAACATAATATATATAGAATTACAAGGACAATCACTTAAAACAACATAATATATCTCAATTCTAAATGTATCATTTTATTCTTTGTCTCTATCAATATAATACGGTTTTATTCAATAAAATATAGATCTGAAGATATTATAAAAAAATATATTGATATCAAATTTACTACTTAAAAGTTTTCATTTTTTGTATAATTTTTTTAATTCAATTTTTTTATTAAAATTTAATTTAGATTTAGTAAAGAAATAA